GTGCGCTTCGCAGCAGGCGTCAGGAGCTGATTTTGGGACATGATATAGGGGGTGGGACGGGAACATATTTGGTGGGGGTCACAAAGTGATAACGACTGATAAGAGCAGATAAGAGGCGCTGAAACACAAATTTCACGAAATTCATAGTGCGCTTCGCAGCAGTCGTCAGGAGCTGATTTTGGGACATGATATAGGGGGTGGGACGGGAACATATTTGGTGGGGGTCAAAAAGTGATAACGACTGATGAGGACTGATATAACGATATGCGTACGAACGTAGAGAGCACTTCGAAACCAGATTGTAGATAATGCATTTCATTTCAATATCATTTCATTAGCGTTGTAATTGTAAACTCAAACACCTTTCGACCGCTACACCTTCTAGAGTTCTTGAGGATGAATGGGATGCTCGAATAAATATGATAATGAATACTAGGCATTCCGTTTTGAGATATTCGACCGCTAAATTACCTCGATACTCGACGCATAGTGGTTGTTTACATCATCACTTTAGCTGTGCACTTCACTGCGCTTATCAAACAGTGAGATACAGCCAAGAGCCTATGCAACGGACAGTAATACATTTAACGAAGCAGCTATAATTTAGCGGTGAAACCTAAAGCTTCATCGATTGTCAGTTCTATCAATGCGCGCGGTAGCGGGCGGAGCTAAACTGGTAAATGGTATTTCTATTGCAAAATCATGGCATCAATATTATTCGACCGCTAAATCATCCTGACATCCAATGCATGGTGGCTGTTTACAGACACCACTTTAGCTCCGCACTCCACCGCGCGTATCAGACGGTTGGTTAAAAATGGGCATTCTGTAGAAGGCCAGCTAACGCATTTCACGAAGCAAGTTATTGTTTAGCGGCGGAACCTAACGCTCCGCCGGCTGGCCAGCTTTACGGAGCCCTTCCGTGTCATGCACGCGGTAGTGTGCGGAGCTAAACTGGTATTAACCCATTGCGGACCGCACCATGCGGAGAAGGACAGTAATCTTCGATTTTTTCAGCATTTTGCTAAGTTACAAAATCATCAGTTTACTTTTTTGGACACAGGATATATCACTTATTTGCGTACTGGTTAAATTTTCGATAGATTATTGGCCACTGATAAAAGAGATGACAAAAACCTACGGAGGTGCAATTATAACGGCGGTCCGCAATGGGTTAATATATAAACCAGAGTTTGTTTGTCTGGGACGGTAGTAAAGTGCCATAGACTGGGAGTTAAAGGTGGTGAACTACGGCCGTAAGCGGTGAATAATGAAAGGCGAGACAGCCAGATGACCCCGCTCTGAATGGCGAGCTTCACTACATTCCTAGCAAAAGTCGCGTCGCCATGGACTTGAACCATGTAATGCAGCGCCCATGAGCGCGACGTTTGCCACTGCACCACAAAGCATTGCTGTGTTACTTCGAAAGAATTGTAGAAAGCAAGGTAGTAATCCTATGAGGGTTGCAAAACATCCAGTATCATGGAGAACTGATCCCGCGAGCGATCCAATGTCAACAAGGAACGAACCCACTGCGCCAATCGACGTGTTTGAACCTAGGATCATGGCCTAGATGATTGTACAGTAGTGAAATGCTCCCGGGACCAAGGAAGGAGCTATAACACGATCAATAAGTGGAACACTGCGGGGGACAGCTGATCACCTTATTGGCAGAAAGTTATCAATATTATCGATAGCTCCAGTGGCTTTCTTGCTGCCCACACTCAACACCTTCCACGTACCCCTTTCTTCCCTGCGCTCTGCGCATGGCAGGGACGGAGAGACGCTCAATGCGACCAATGCATGACGTGCAGAGAAAGGGGGAAGTGCATGGGGATTGAAGAGACGCAGATAGACGGCGACTAAAATGTACTCAGGGGTACATTTTAGTCGCCCTCTACATGACCCTCTGCGTCTCTGCAATCTCCACGCACTTTCCCCTTTCTCTGCCGGGTTCGCCGCCTAGGCTAGGTGCCACCTAATACGTTCGCCACTTAACATGTGGTATAGACCTCGCCCTCTGCGGGAGGTCAGCGTGAATTTCCGCCCTTTCCCCATGCTTTTTGAGTGCCGACGAAGGCGAGATCAACGTGACCTATTGGCCAGCTATAGACTGGCTATTTAGGGGACTTTACTACCGTCCCTGCCCGCTCCTCTAAAATTCGCTGTCTCCCAAACATTTCTAACTATTCCTTCAGAAATCACCTAAGGAGACTTAGACATAGTTTCTCCCGTGCTGGAGAGCACATCGGGCGACGAATTCTTTCCACTGTTGCCGGTCTTGTGCAATCATTTCTCCTTCATTCCTAGAAACATTCATGATCTTGAAATCATTCTCGAACGTTCGTCTCCACGTGTTTCTGGGACGGCCTCTTCCTCGCTTGGCGCCTGGAGGTATCCAGTTCATGGCCACCCTTGGAACTCGTTGTTGTGTCATGCGCAAAATATGGCCAGCCAGTCGAAGCCTACGCTGTGCCACAACCACGTGGAGGCAATTCGAGCCACAACGGCGTAAAACTTCCTCATTGGTGACGTGATCCATGTAGC